GGGAGACCTCACAGGCAGCCAGCAAGCTGACACGGCACAACTAGTCACAACAGGAGTGCTGCAAGAAATGCTGGACACCCTGGCAAGCAAAATGCAAGCCACAACATATTCAGCTATTGCAGACCTGAAAAAGAATCTTACAGATTTGGGGAATCACAAATAGAGGACAGAATGGAGGAAAATGGCAGGGAAAATGGAAGGGCTGGAATACAGACTCCGAGCGTGAGTCAAAAATCATGGACATGGAGGATTGTTCACACAGGAGGGGTGCCGGAGGAAATAGGCCCCGCTGACCTGCTATCAGGATTACTAACTGATCCAGCACGCAGAATTGTATCACACCTAGGACTAAGGATAATGTCTAACCGGACCTTAGAATGGCCGGACTTAACGTATCCAAGAATAGTCAGGATACTTGCCGAGTTCAGGGATACAGAATCAGACACAACGATGAGAAAAAGCCAAAAGTCAAGGATACGAGAAATCAGGGAAGTCAGCACAAAGCCAAAGTCAAATACCAAAAAATCAAGATCAGGAACGCACTCTTGGATAACCATCCTGCAGAAACCACGACAGGGCAATGAGATAATGTAAAAATTAGTTTAAATAACCCTCCTGTTATTCCGATTGGTTGTGACCGACCTTTGACCCCAAAACATGCGATCGCATGACGTCACACACACGCCACCATCATCAACGTGCGCGGCCATAGGGCTATACAGTGGCATAGATCCACAGCGGCCAGCGGCCCTAGACATGCTGTGTTTATCAGGTATCCGGGCGCATGGATGCAGATGGGCACAACTATTCCTGTCAGGACGGTAAATACCATCATAAACATTTCTATGTGCGGATGAATTTGTTACATTACCCCCCCACCTGAAGACCGCCCACCGGGCGGTCAGGACCCAGTTTGAGAGCAAACTTGGGGCAGAAAGAGCAAATCTTATGGCCAGCATGGATATCAGAAACCAATCAACCTCCAATCAACCAGGTATTGCAACAAACCCCAAGAGAACCTGGAATCAATAATGGAGGAGACCTCGTATTCCTCCTGACCGGAAACAACCAAAGGAGGAGGGGGAATCACCGGGACTGTATATTTATTGCAAATAAGTGGTTTGAGTAAAGATACATGAAATGAATTAGGAATGCATAAGGATGCAGGAAGGGCCAGGGAATAATAAACAGGGTTAATTCTCTTAAGGACACAGTAAGAAACCTAGGAGCAAATATCCTTCTAGGAACTTTTAGTCTAATATTGCGTGATGATAACCAAACCTGGTCCCCCACCTGGTAAACTGGGTTGGCACGCCGTCGTTTATCAGCATGGAATTTAAAGTGAGCAGCCGCAGTTTCAAGAGCAGAGTGAACCTTAGTCCAAGTATCACGAATAGAGGTAAAGTGGTCATCCAGAGCAGGGATAGCTGTGTCAGAAAACATCAGGGAGAATAGTAGGATGGTGACCGTTATTGACAAAGAAAGGACTGTGACCAGATGCGTCATGGGTCGCGTTATTTTTGGCAAATTCGTCCCAAGTCAACAAATCAGCCCAGTTAGGCTGAGTACTGTTCACAAAGCAACGCAAATACAGCTTGGTTAGCCCTTTCAGCCACACCATTGGTCTGGGGATGGTAAGCAGAGGAAAAAGACAAGTTAATGCCCAATTTTTTACTGAATGATCTCCAGAACCTTGACACAAATTGGGAACCCCTATCAGACACAATATTATATGACTAGTCTTATGTCAAGGGATATAATAATTGTGATAATGTGCTGGCCAACACCATTTGTTTGTTGTAAATGATTTAAATGTGAACCCAAAAAACATGGATTTATGATAAAGGAAATGCATATATTTTACCCCATATGTGCGATCGCTTTGATGTAACACGCACACCGACGTCGTCATCAACATGGGCAGTCATTGGGCTATAAAGTGACATAGATCCGCAGCGGCCGGCGTCCCTAGACATGCTGGGTTTATCAGGTATCCGGGCGCATGGTTGCAGATGGGCACAACTATTCCTCTCAGGACGGTAAATACCATCATAAACATTTCTATGTGCGGATTAATCTGTTAGTTTGGTCTAGCCACTTTATCACAAATGCAGGCCCCATTGAGAGCTGAAGAGAAGCCTCTACTGTTTCTGCCTCTTGTCGGGGTATGGGAGAACATGCATGTTTTACGCACTGTGCCACATGCTAGGGTGTCAAAACAAAATAATTTTTTTAATAAATCCATACTGGTATAGTAATTATCAACCAATAGATGATAACCCTTATTTAACAAGGGGAGGATCAGACATCACACAATATTTCAGTTTGTGCCCACAGAATCAGGGCATCCTGGTGGATCAAGATGGCTATCCTTCACTTGATAAATCCAAAAGGCCCATGTATAACCATAATTTATAGAATTTTTAATGCCATATTATGACCATTTGGGATATATTGTTTGAAAAGCAGTCTGTTTACATTTCATCAGAGATTCGTCAGTATAAGTGTTTTGGTCTGGGTTATAATTCTAGTAAACTTTATCAGACAGGAGTTGGATAAGGGGACAAATTAAATAGACCTTATCAAACAATGGGTAATTTCAATGGGGTGACAGTGCATTAACCTTAAAATTGAAGAATAACAGCATTTGCTCGTAGTGATCCCACTTCATAACCCTTGGGGAAAGAGGGGTAGCCAGGATGGGGTGCCTGTGCCAGTAGGGCCTGATACTTAGCATTTCCACAAAACCCCATACTAGGGTTAGTGCCCCAATTTTTTTAAATTTCTGTGACGGGTGCCAAATATTTTTTCTATTGTAGTGTGACCCTGGATTCGCAGACAGATATTGTCTGGCATACAGATCAAATAAGTTGTTTGACACCTAAAATAGTTCACTGGCTCACAAACATCTATTGAAATGTTTAGGGGAATTCGTAGGGCAACCCAACCCCAACCCAAAAATGTAAATAAAATTACTGATTGAAGATCAAACATCTTCGACCAGCTCTTAAAAGTTTGGTTATTTATTTACGTATTTTCAGTGGCGTACTAAGGTCGGGCGGGGTGGGGAGGTGGTCCGCCCCGGGTGCCACCAGTTAGGGGGGTTCCACCAGGTAGGGGGGTGCCTCCAGGGCTGGCCAGGCTTGTAACTCTGTGAGCTGTGTGGCTGCACAGGGCGCCGGGAGCCACACAGCTCACACACGCAGGGCCTGGGAATTCAGCAGTACAGAAGTAGTGCACTGAGAATTGGGACAGAGCCAACTTGGCCGCGGGGGCAGAGCTACAGCCAGCCTCCATTTGCTGCCTTTCACTGCAGCACATTGAGGGTAAGCAGGAAGGAGTCCCTGCTTCCCCAACTCCAACATACCAGGGACTCACTGACTCCACTCCTCCACCAGTATGTAAGAGAGAGAGAGAGAGAGAGTGTGTGAGACTGCTTGTGACTGTCTGTCTGTGACTATCTGTGACTGTGTGTGAATGTCTGCCTGTGACTATCTGTGACTGTGTGTGTGAATGTGTGTGAAGTGGAAAAATCAATTAAAGTATTGATTATTTCTTTGTGTATCTGCCCCTGGCCAAATCAATGAAACAATGCGTGCACGCTCCCTGAAGTAATTCACACCAGACACAGGTTCTAGGTTGTTGAATAACTTGAGGAAAGTTTATTCAGAGGGGACGGCAAGTCCCTTTTAAAGCAAAATTACATCATAAGCATTGTCAGAGATAACATGGAATAATACATCAATTATTGGTTAGGTGTTAAGTGGTTGCTTCAATGCTCTGCCTACTGTAGGTGATGTCACCGGGGCCATGAGGGTCTCCCACGGTTTACCGGCGCCATCTTGGTGCACGAGGTAGTTAGTCGATGTTAGGAAGGAGAAAGGGAGGGGAGGGGGAAGGAGCTAGAAGCTTCCAGCAGCCATCTTAATTATAACGTGTGTGCTTAGCTATATGTATATATATCGTGAAATGAGTAAATAGACATTTTTCACTAACTAGGAAATATGTGCAGACCTTATTTCCACAACAGTCCCCCCTAAAATGGCTATTTACCATAACAACTGCTACTGTCCCTATTATGTCCCTAGTTGCCTGCAACCTATCTGCCTTAACTAGCATCGAACACTTCACTCCGCGGGTAACCCGCAGTGGCTAGTCCACTACATCTCCACACGTGAGACTTGCCAGTTAAGACAGACGCTTTCCCTATACTGTCCCTACAGGAAAGCAGTCGTTTGTTTGAACTGATGTGATTGAAGGGGTGTATGTGGAGTATCATCTTCGAGGTCTGTGATGTCTTGGTGTATGAAAGTAGGGGTCACGTCATCTATAGTCTTGTCTACCGCTTTCTGTAGATACTTCTGTATGCAGGGGAATATGCAACAGGTCAGAAATAAGAAAATGACGATCATTATGAGAACAGCTGTCCCCACCTGGAAGAGGGTCCTTTGCCAACCATTCATCCATCCAAACCATCTGTCCCAAGTGTCAATGACTCCTGAATTTTTCTTTAGCTCGTCTGCAAGACTATCTAGCTTCTCTATGGCCATAGTCACCTTACCATTGGGCCCCGTATTGTCTGGAATGTATGTGCAGCATGTCATGGTCTCAGGGAGGATTTTACATACACCCCCTTTCTCAGCTAGAATCATATCTAGGGCCATTCTGTTCTGAAATGTCATTTGGGTAGTGGCTTGTAATTGCTCTGCCAGGCCCTGTAGGGCATCCCTAGTGTAGTTGACAAAACGCTGTTGATTATAGTAGATGTAGTTAATCCAATTGACATTTTTGTTAGCAGTTATCATTGGAATTAGGGACTCAAATCCTGCAGCCACTTCATCTCTTGCTTTGAATTCGTTAGGCACCCCCCTTGGCACACCTATGGCATCAATATACACATGGGGGTCGAAACTCCCTCAAATAGGAGTCTCTCGTTTGGTTCTAGAGTGTACATGTGTGAGGTTTAACGTGTTATGGTCACCATCTGGAATGATATGGATAGGCATTATGACTTTAGTTAGGGCACACTCCCCCCACCATTGCCCAGTTAATTGGGACCTCAATTGTTTATCCCCACATAACCAATAGATATCACCGATTGTCTTTGTGTGGTTCATTAGCAGTGATACGGGTGGATTATGGTAAGTTGAGCAATATCCTGATGGGAATTTGCCCAGATACAAACCGGTGTTTTTAGATATTGTATTGGTGACGGACTGTGTGTAAAGGCTCAGAACACATGATTCTACTTCAGGAGGCAAATTCAGAGGAACTGTGCCCAGATGGGGCCTGGCTCCTCCACACACGTAACAATTGGTCTTATTGTGTGAGTTGGCATTATACCTCATCCATTCTAGCCACAAATTAGTGTCTGAAAAACCAGTTTCCACTGCCATAGTGTCTTCAAAGGTGGGGTTGGCTATAGCTACCATGTCATGTAGGGTCTTAATATGTGGTTTTAATGGGTTAACGACCATGTGAGTGGTCCCTACCCAGTCTGGGGAGGTGAGCATGTCTTGTAGGTAGAATGTCCCCAGTGCATTGTGTGAGCCACCTCCCTTCCAGTACATCCCCATCACATATTCCCCCGCGTCCCTTGGACTAGGGTGTTCTATATTCAGGGTAAGTTTAATGGGAGTCGACCCTGTGGGTTTACTCAGAGTCATTCTAGAAAGTAGGGGCTTCCCGTCTTTGTCAAGTCTGTCTAGTGCAACCTGAGGTCTGTAGCCCCATGGTCTACCTGTATTCCACCCGGCAGCTTTCCATGAACTACAGTGGTGTCCCCAAGCTCCTCCAGTCACACAAATGTATGGGTCCTTTTTGTTAGGTATGTCTTTGTATATGGCTGCATGTTGTGTCTGTGGGAATGTACAGGTAACTATGTCACAGTAATCAAAGGTGTATGTAGCTACATCAGTATCAGAAGAATTGTACCAGAAAGTGTAAACATGATTATATTTGGTTATGGCCACTTGTTGGGCCCAGGCAAAATGCAACAATATAAGAAGACACAAGACACATAATAAATTCATGTTTCAACAAGATCAGCTTCTTCTGGAGCAGGCACTTTTTTGCAATGTGAAGCGTGTATCCAGGAACTTTTTCCAGCTAGTTTAACTGACGTTGCTGTAATCAGGAGCACTTGATAAGGACCATCAAATCTCGGTTCTAGGGTGTGTTTCCTGAGGAACTTCTTAACCATAACCCAATCACCCGGAAGCAGCTTGTGTGTACCTGTATTCGACTCAGGATCTGGAATAGAAGAAAACACTTGGGCATGTATCTTGGTCAAGGCATGTGAAAGGGCAGTCACATAGTCTACCATAGCGTCTGACTGAATCTGAAGCTGTTGGGGAAAGTAGCAACCTAACCTGGGTGCTGTACCAAACAAAATCTCATAAGGTGACAAACTGTATTTTCCTCTGGGAGTGTACCTTACACTGAATAACGCTAGTGGGAGACTCTCGGGCCAGGGCATGTTAGTTTCTTGTGACATTTTGAGCATTCTGGCTTTCAAAGTGCCATTCATGCGCTCTACCTTACCACTACTCTGTGGGTGATATGGTGTGTGGAATGCAAGGGTCACCCCCAGTGCTGACCAGACTTCCCGTGTTAGCGAGGCAGTGAAGGAGGTCCCTTGATCACTTTCAATTACTTCTGGAACCCCGTAGCGGCAAACAATTTCTGTCAAAAGGTACTTGGCTGTAGTCCTCGCGGTGAGATTAGTCACTGGGAAGGCCTCTGGCCATCCTGAAAACATGTCCACTATAACCAGTGCATATTCATGACGTCCGCTCTTTGGCATTTGAATGTGGTCAATCTGAATCCTCTGGAAGGGGTATTGTGGCTTGGCTAGATGATTAGGTGCAGTCTTTATGACCTTTCCAGGATTGCACTTAGCACATATAGTACAAGATTTGCAGTAATTCTGTGTTAAGGTAGTGATGCCTGGTGCTTCAAAATACTTGTCAATCAGTGAGTTCATCAGGAGCTTTGATAGGTGGGCTGGCCCATGGGCCCATTGGACCACCGCTGGGTACATACTTCTAGGTAGGCAGAACTTGAGATTAATGGTGTAAACTTCATCACGGAGTATTGCTCCTTTGTTCTTCCAACTTTGTTTCTCCTGAGGAGTGGCGGCAGCTTGTTGTTCCTTCAGCAGCCTGAGATCTGTAGGCAACGTTTGCATAGTGTAAATGGGTAATGTATCTGTGGCCACTCTTCTGTCCACTTCCCATCCTTGTCGTGCTGCCTCTTTGGCTGCCTGATCAGCTAGGTTGTTGCCACGTGCTTCTTCTGTGTCTAATCTTCCATGAGCTTTTACTTTCAATACTGCCACTTCTGCTGGGAGTTCCAATGCGTCCATCAGTTCTGCAATGGCTGCCCCATGTTTTACTGGGGTACCGGTGGCTGTAAGAAATCCTCTGGTCTTCCAGATTAAGCCAAAATCGTGTGCCACTCCCAGGGCATATCTTGAATCCGTATAAATGTTGACACGTAGGCCTTCGGACAGTTTACAGGCCACAGTCAAGGCTGTTAACTCAGCCTCTTGGGCAGACTTAGATGGTTGTAGGGCAGCTGCTTGTAATATTTGACATCCTGTAGTGACTGCATATCCAGTGTGGTATTGTCCTTGTTCATCAGCAAACCTTGAGCCATCCACAAATAGTGTTTGATCCGGGTTCAGTAATGCAGCTTCATAAACAGTTGGTAGGTGTGTAGTTTCCATTTTCATTTGTTCAAAACAGTCATGGGGAATATCGATGAGGTTGCAGTCTATGGTGGGTGGGTCCTCACAGGCCTCTGTGTGGTACCTGGAGTATCCTGTTGTGCAGTAGTTAATGGTCTTTTTATTCCCGTAGAAGTCAGTTGTTCTTGAGTCATTTGGTTCCAAGTTTTAGCCATCGGGCCTAGGTTCTCCCATAAGGTGTTGTGGGATCTGGTGAGAGATATGTGTGGGATAGCTGTTTCCCAATGGTGGTAGAAGTGTGCTACATTATCTGGAAGGTGAACCAAAATGAGCATGGTACCTGTAGAGTCCCAAAATAAGTCAGTCAGGGTAATTTGAATTTCTTTGAGCTGAAATAGTTCTTCCTCATAGTCCACATCAGGACTTGGTTCGTCCCTAAACCACAAGACACAGTGGAGTGGGGCCTCTGATTGTTCATCAGGGGGAGGTGTGAACACAGGCAACTGTAAATCTGCTCGAACATCTGGGTTGATATCCAGGCTGTACCAGTGATGCACAATTCCCCCCTTGGGAAGTGGCAGAAGAGTGGCTGGGTTCAGGGAAAGGCATCTCTGGAGTTTCACATTATCAGGTAGGAGTAAGGATGTCTGTAGGCGAAGGTGACGTTGGGAAGAAAGGTGTTTAGGTCGAACTTGCTGTAGGATTGCAGTAATATCGTGAGTAGCCAGCACTGTGAGGTGATGGCCAAGAACAAAGTCATTGGTCTTGTCCAGGAGAGCGCTGGCGGCAAACACCGCTCGGAGGCAAGAGGGGCTTCCCCTTGCAACAGGGTCAAGCATGCAGGAAAAATAGGCAATAGGGCGTTGTCTAGATCCATGTTTCTGGGTGAGGACTCCGGAAGCATGTCCTGATTTTTCAGAGACAAACAGGTGGAAGGGAAGTTGGTAGTTGGGCAGGCCCAAGGCAGGTGCAGAAGCAATAGCTCTTTTCAGAGTATGGAAACAGGTGATCGTTTCTTCTGTGAGATGAAAGGGCTCACTCCTGAGGGCATCATAGAGTGGCTGCATGAGCTTTGATGCTTCAGGTATCCAGGACCTGCAATACGTGATAAGGCCCAGAAAAGCATGGAGAGCCTGGTGATTAGCAGGTAGTGGAAGATGCAGAATGGCTTGTACACGTTGGGAGGTTAGATGTTTGGCGCCATAGGAAACGCAGTGTCCCAAGAAGACCACAGAGGGCCGGCACCATTGTAACTTGGATTTTGAGGCTTTGCAACCAGCTGCAGCAAGGAAACATAGGAGATCTTCTGAATCACGCTCTGCAATGAGCAAATCAGGAGCACAGAGAAGGAGATCATCAACATATTGAAGCAGGACGACATCCAAATGAGACTTCTGCCAGGGATCCAGCACCAGTGACATGGCGTGAGCAAACTGTGTGGGGGAATTCTGAGCCCCCTGAGGCATGACAGTCCAGGTGTATTGCTGTCCTTCATGGGTGAAGGCAAAGAGAAAACGACAGGAAGGGTCAAGCGGGACACTGAAGAAGGCATTAGCTAGATCCACCACAGTGAATATTGTTGAAGTTGATGGGACTTGGGATAAGAGGGTGTGGGGGTTAGGAACGATTGCAGTGTCTTTGATGGTCACATCATTCACAGCACGGAGATCTTGCACCATGCGGTACTGGTCAGGCTGACCTTTAACAGTTCTCTTTTTAACAGGAAACAGTGGAGTATTACATGGAGATGAACACTTGATGAGGGCACCTTTGGCAAGGAGACTTTCAACTTGTCTGGTAATGGCTTCAGCTTGTGCAGGCTTCAGAGGGTACTGTGGCCTGCGAGGAGGCAGTGCCCCAGGCAGGAGCTGAACTAAGACCGGGGGCACATGTAAGCGCCCAATATCATCCGGGCCAGTGGACCAAAGTTCTTGAGGGATACGATCCAGAGCACTGGGGGTTTGTGGGACCCGTGCATCCCCTGTATTGTCAGTTAGGTTTAACAAAATAGGGAGTGAACAGAGGACAGAGGTATCCTTTTGTGATAAGGGAGTTGTCAATTCAATCTGCCCATCTGCAGTGAAGGTGATGGAGGCCTGGAGCCGAGAGAGAACATCTGCACCTAGGAGGTTAATGGGGCAGGTAGAGGAAACAACAAAGCGTGAGAGGATGTGGGAACCTACGTGTAGAAGCTTAGTAAGGGGGTTGCTGCGTGGGGTACCATCCACCCCAACACAGGAAACATCAGTGTCAGACAAGAAAGAAGGGTCAGGCAGGTCTTGTTCCCTAAGGACACTACGGGCTGCACCTGTGTCAACCAAGAAAGTGGTGGGGTGGCCCTCCACAGGGAGAACTACAGTAGCTAGAGGGCCTCCCCCATCCCCCGCAGACACTGCCATGGCAGGGGTTGCTGACACAGGCTTGCCGGCTACCTATTGTAATAAATCTAAATGGGCCTGGTCTGGTCCCTGGTACCGGCGGGAAGTAGAAGGGGGGTTAGCAGAATGCATGGGGGGACGAGATGGGCGGAGGGTATGACGGGGCTGGCCGTCTTGGAAATCATCATTATCAAACCCTTCTGCAGAGGGTGAAGTATATGCACGAGCTTCTGATACAGGGAGCCGAGCTTGAGT